CTTGCTTGTCTTTTTTCGTTGACTGTTTTCAGCATAATAGTACATATATAGAGTTGGTAATAGTAGTAAATAGTAAAGTTTTTTGCCTTCTAAGTAAAGTATGTCAGGTTTGGATTCTTTGGAGTTTCTTTTGCATAGTGAATATTAACATTCGTTTACGGTTTTTACGGTGATTTTTTATTAGTGAAACGTGACAGTATATAAATAAGTTATCCGAACAATTGATTTACATCAGCCAATCATATGAAAGTCTTCCTATGAGAATAGACCTCCTATAAATGTCTGGTTGCTAAAACAATGAAACAGGTGTTCTCAATGATGCCTCAATCTTTGATCGAAAACAATGTTTTGGGCTGTTGCTAATAATGATGCTATTGGTGGCGAGGTTATTAATTTCTACAGTGGAAATAGTATACGCATCTGTTAACAGTTCTATCCTTTTTGATACTAAAAATTTTGTAGCTGCCAAATGTATATATTTACCGCCGCCCTAATTCCAATACTCTACGCGTGATTTGTTGTACCGAAGTCATTCGTTATAGCGGATCCGTCGATTTACCGGATCTAAGGAGGGTACTGTGATCGGAAGGGAATACTTTTAGCCCACGAAATACAATACCGTAATTGAATCCTCAATTGTAGTAATAGTTGCAACATGGGTTACAACCCCGTAATATTATATATTACGGGCAGTAAGCTTAGTTTAAACCATATTTTCAGCAGCCTTACTTACTATGCTTTGTCTTTAATGATTTTTCTTATAATTTGGGAATTATTTCAGTTAGTTCTATTCATCATAGGTAAAAAAATGCGGATTCATCATGTATGTAATCCATACATGTTCTTTTTCTTCTGGTCCCAAAGTCGGATATGTTCTCACTCTGCACTCCTTGAGACATGAAATGCTCGTGCTTGGAAAAATGTTTCAAGAAATATCTCCTGATATGCAATGACATGACCTCCTCGTGATTGTGTACATCAATATAAACTTCTTTCCGATATTGATTGTGTCTAAATCCCATTTTGTGCATCCAACGTCTTGCAGTTCGAACTGAGATTTATTGTGGAGTTTCAATGCGTAGATCTGAAATAATTTGCGCCTCAAAGTATTTTTTAACCATTACAGGATTAACTTCTCCTTTTTTCGAAAGGAAGAAGGATGAAATACGAAGAGACAAAAGTTCGTCATGAAGTAGACTTTTGAAAGGAATTCTCATTGTTCATGCATCTTAGCAACAGTTAAATTCACCTCTTGCCTGAAAGCAAAAGCCGAAGACAAAGAATAACGGATGAATAATGCACTTTTTGGCTGTTTTAAATATTCTCGCACAAAGCTTTCTCAACAAACTTAATGGAACGATGTATTTGCTTTTTTTCTCGTCCTCATATTGCTGATCAAACTTTCACTTTGCACTGAAAAAACTTCGCTCTCATGTTATTGGTTGGATGGTTCATTTTATGCAGGAAATGTGAGGTGTACCAATGGCAGCCTCATTTTTTCATCATTTTGTTCGTGGAGCAAGGCCAGTATAAGAAGCTGGATGGCCATAAGTTTCTTAGTTCTTTGTATTAAAAAAAGCTGCCTAGTGCAGTATCCTCTTTGTCCAGATCAGCAGATTCGAAACTAATCATCAAAAGGGCAGATCAACGGTTTCAACCTGCATCTAATTGAGTAGTATATTTGTGAACAGCATGGAGGACTGTGTTTACTTTTTGCAAATTCGCATGACGAGCTTTGTTATTTTTCGATAATCTTGACATTAAGTTAATAATTCACACAATTGATTTTACTATAATACTAACATTTTTTATAAAAGCAAAATAAATAATTGTGCTAGATTTATAACAAAAAAAATTGTGTTGTAGTGGCGAAAATCTAATAGGAGCTAAGTTATTTTCCTAATCACAGGTTTTTAAAATTTCCCAAATTCTTCGATAACCAGTGGTCAGATTTTTGTAATCATGTTTGCCTCAATAAGACGAATATTTTAGTAGTAATTTTATTTTAATCAGAATAATATTTGTCGAATTATTGCAATTTTAGTTTTTTTTTTTAAGTTAAAAACGTCAGTTACAAAATTTTTAAAACATTAAATTATGTTCGAACTTGCATTAACACAGAAAGAGAGTACTGATATTTAGGGACATAATGCCCCTTACTCAGAAAATAATTTTTCTTTTTATATTAAGAATTTCTATTTCAATATACATATTTTTTATAATTAAATATAAATTTATTATAAAATTGAAAATTTTAATAGAGAAAAACCTGGGTATTTTTTGATCATTTTTCCCCTATATCGCAGCTTTTGGTGTACAAAATAAGGTGATGAAATGTCAAAAAATTTCAGACAAAAAGAGTTGAAACTATTGTTTCATTCTAAAATGAATGCACCACAAGAAACATAACAAGAATGCAAAAAATTAGGGTGTCTATGATTCCTGTATTAACAAAAAATGATGTGGATGACTTGCTCTCAATCTATTTCAGAGAGAATTCGGGATGTAGTTAAAGTGCAAGGTGGATATACAGAACGATAATATATATTAAGTTGTATTTAGACTAGGTAAAAAAGAACAGAAAAATATATAATGATTAGTTTAAATGAAGAATCGTATAATCATGTTGAAAAAGAGCAAAATTAATGCAGTTATGATGAGATTCAGTCGTCTCACATCCCTATCACTACGTGCTGCCAAAACAACAGAAAAATCGATCAATTTGTTTAAATCTGAACATTTGATTATAAAGTCTATATAGGCAGGCTGAATTATTAAAGAGGATCCTAAAATCGCTGAAAAGAGAATAAATAGTTCATTTTGTGACAAGTAACTCTAATAAAGCCCATTGAAGGAATAGAGTAGAGAAAAATATTTACACAAACACATTTATTGAACTTCTGATGATCAGTTAACTTGTCTTTTTTCTTCGATTCTTCTTGTTTTCTATCTTATGCTATCCAATACGTTAAATCAAAATTTTCAATTAGTAAATTGAAGAACTTTTTTCTATGACGGATTCAAATTTGAACCAAGTAGCAAGGCGAAAAAAGGGCATATCATGTGATTCCGATCCATATGCCCCTTAAAATTATGCACCAATCAAATCGCAAGATCAATGTGCAACGCAAAATTTCATATTTTTGAAAAATAGTTTGTATTTTGAAATTTTTGTGCTAATAAAAATAAAAAATGCTTCTTGCGAAATTTTGTATATACGTATTCTATACTCTCGTCATTATATAACCTTAACTCTGATCCTAATCCTAACCCTAACCGAAACTTTAACTAATATTATCATAATTTTAAGGGGCATATCGGATGACCGGCATTGGGATCGGAATCACATGATCTGCCCTTTTTTTCGCCTTCACTTTCAAATTTGAACCACTAATTAAAAATGTTATACGCTACAAAAGCCGCCGTGTACCAATTTTCACAAAAATTTAAGATCCCGAAGGTTCGAATCTCTGCTAGGAGCATTAATTCGACTATTTATTTACTAACAGAGATTTGAACCTTCAGGATCTTCAATCTCGATAAATTTTGAGCCATTTTTTGTGAAAATTGGTACATAGGCGGGATTTTGTAGAATATAACATTTTTAATTAGTTGTCCAAATTTGGATCCGTCATAGAAAAAAAGTTCTTCAATGTGAGAAATTTACTAATTGAAAATTTTGATTTAAATTACACTTCAACCTCGTTATAGTGAAGACATTTGGGCAAGGAACAAATCTTTCCTATAGTTTATATCGAGAGGATATCATATAGTTTCACTATATCGAGTTGACGTTTATTAATGATTCTAAAAAAAATTCTTCGCTATATCGAGAGCGAGTTGGAGACTCTCTTCTCCATCAATGACTCACGTAATTTTTGGTCCTCCCCTTACATTACGAAAATTTGAAGAGACTGATAATAAAATCGATAAACTCATTTATATTGGGATCACATTAGATCCATTACAACTAACAGCCACCCATTATAAACCTGACCTATGCTATTCCAGAAAACGTAAATATTTTGAGAACCATATATTTTACTGTTGATATAGTTGCTTAATCTTAATTGGAATTATATCTCAGATAAAAGATTCAATAAAATCTCGCTATTGAGCTCATTAAAAAAAGGATATTCATTTCGCCTTTTGACTATTTGTTTATATTCTTGAGAATTGGCCACCTGAGTAAAGTTTTCAACGACAAATTTCATTATTTCCCTATTCAGATAAGGCCATTGATAGGTTAATCCAAAAGAATTTCAGCTGAATTTTTGATCGATAATGACTCTAATTAGTTTTTTGGCCCATGCTTCATGTTCATCAACCAAATATTTATCCGCTATTGCGTGCAGATCGAGCGCAGCTTTATATTCAGCTTTCTCAAGTAATTCACCAATATAGAGATATCACAGCATTTGCAGGAATAGTTTGGGTTCAGTTTCCTTAATCTCGATTAAATACTTTATGAATGGAGAATTGGTTGTCAAGGTCCATAGCATCATTCAAAGAAGAAATAGGTTCATTGATATCTGTGGATTGTTTTTTTTTTTGATTCAGCCCAAAACTTTTTGAAAAATCTTCAAAATATTCTGATCGAGTGGCCAAAATTTTGCTGATATCATAAAACGTAAATTTCACATCGGAAATAATTGAATCGTTTAGAATATTATTCCAAGCTTTTATAGTTGACAACCTTTTTGCAAATTTTTTTGGCATGTATTCTCCTTGTGTATCCACGTCAAATTCAATACCGATTACAAAATTATCTGAAAGTTTACTTCTAACATAAAACTGCTCACAACCTAAAGAGAGTAACATTTTTTAGTATTTTAAAAAAACAAGTCAAAAAAATTTGAAAATTTACCCTGAAAAGGACGTTCATACTTATTTCTACTAATAATCATATCTTCAATGGCTATGTATTCATTACTATGAATTGATTCCTTTAAAAACAATCTTAATTTAATATTTTTCCTGTGAGACTCGCATCCATTCGGAATTGCAAAAAGCCATATTGACAATAACCTGAGTTCTCACTGGAAATCTTGAATTGAGTTGATATAAACAGAATAATAATTTTCTCTGCATCAGTGAAAAGAATCGGAACATGAATAATTAAAGTGCATTAAGTTAAAGTACTGGATTAAACTTTAACTGCCACAAAGTATCATTATTTGGCGCAGCAAATGAAGGACTGTTAAAAAGACTTGTATTTTGTATCTTGTTGTACATTTGAGCTGCTCATTGAAAATATCGTTATGGAACATTCAAGTACAGTCCGTCAAATATATATTATCGTTATTGTTATTGTTCTATTACTCGGGCTGTAGTGGTGGTACAAAAAAAACTGCCGGATTTTTGAATTCGCGTTACTGGCAATCAAAGTAATATTTAATTACTTTTCCAGAAATACAACAGCAACTTGAAAGTTGTTTACACTGGAGAGCTATCATTTACAAAGTTGTTATTTCCGAGATTGAAAACGCACTTTCAGAAGAGTGTCAATTTACTCTATTCTATAATACCAAATTTGGTTGTCTTGGAGCAATTCAATTGATTACGAAAATAGTTAAAGTACCACTTGAATGTGTATCAATTGAACAAAATATGTTATTTGTGTTTTTGTCAATTAGGGACAAGAAGAAACGCATCGGAAGTTCTGGATGCGCATTCCTCGTTATGTTATCCTGCGGGCACCCGCAAATTTCTTCTAAAGAATTTACGATTTACTCGCGTCTTTTGCTAAGTTCTGAAGTCTTTGACAATAAAAGTAGATCTACTAGCAATTCTTTTATGTATTATTCTCTTCAAGAATTTCTATCTGTCCATTTATACAAATAAACGTAGGTTTTTATAAAACACCCATAGCGAATACAAAGAGAATCGTTTTGCTATCGTAGATTTTTTTATAATATAAATTTTCACATTTCTTTTGAAACGATTTTAATATACAGAGGCCTCCCAGAATATTGTGGACACTTTTTAAAATACAATAATGCAAAAACTAATAAAAAAGCAAGATTTATGATCCTAAGCTAATAGAATCATTGAAACTTATTGTACATTATATCAAAATTGCAAG